CTCTTCACCAACTACCTAGAATGTGTCCACCAAGGCATTTAACATATGAGCTATGAATCTTTAAATTATTTTGAAGTCTTTAGTTTTTACTCTGAAAGACAATTGGATCTAATGCAGAATCTGAGCAAAGGTGAGACATGATTTAATTTACATATTAAAAGGATCCTTTGGCTGCTGTTATGAGAATAGGGTGAGAAGTACAAGAGTGAAAATAAGGAGACCAATTAGGAAGTTATTTGCAGTGACATAGGGAATTGGTGATGGCAGCTCAAACTAGGGTCAGGGGCAGTGAAGGTGGGGTCAGAGTCTGGAAATTTTTGATCATGGGGTCCAAAGAATTTGCTGACAAATTAGATGACATGTATGAGGGGAGAGGAATTAAGGATGACACCAAGGTTTGTCCTGAGCAACTGGAAGTTCAGAGTTTTTGTAACTGAGATATAAAGAGACAAAATTATAGAAGTATTAGAAAAATAAATAGTGCTATGTATTATTTAATAATAATATGGTATATTTCTATAGTTTGGGGATTAGAAAGGTTTTCTTAGGGAACTCAGAAACTACAAGGAAAAAAAATCAATAGATTAAACAAAAATGTAAAATTTATGGTGAAAGACAAAATTAAAAAGTAGTGGATTTTTAAAAAGTGATGGATTAGAAGAAAATTCAACAGATGCAAAAATAGACATTAAGATTAATAATATATACAGAGTACATCTTTATATACTTAAATTAAAGGACACCCAAATGTAATAAATGGACTAAGGCAGTAAATAGTACACTGAAAAAGGAACACAAATTATACAAGAAAACCTGTAAAATAAAAAGAGGCTCAATCTCATTAGAGAAATACAAATTGGAACAACAAACAATACCAATTTTTATAAAGAATTTCTGGTGGACAATTTTACAGTCTACTGAAAGTTTAAATGTTCATGTCCTTTGATCCAGTGATTCCATTTCTAGGAACAGAAATAATCACAAAAATGAGCAAAGATCTAGACAAAAGGATGTTTGTTACCCCATGCTTATAATAATGAAAAGCTGGAAACAATCTAAGAATTAAGCGATTGGATAGTTAAATAAGTTATTATACTATCATATTATAAAATATTTGGCAGCCTTAAAACAGATAAAATAGTCCTATGTAGTTGGACATAATGGCAAAGATAATAGAAATGCTTTTTTAAGAAGAAAAAGGCAAATTATAGAACAACATATATAGTACCTTTATGTTAAGGAAAACTCTGTGTGTGTGTGTGTGTGTGTGTGTGTGTGTGTCTGTATAAGTGCATAGAAATAGTGTGAGAAAATGATAATCTCCTGTTACCTGTAAACCTGAGCACAGAATTACACATGTGGGTGAATAAATGGGAATGAACATTTTTCTCTTTGTATACTTCTTTGTTCTTTAAAATCTTTTTGCAACCAAAGCATATTACTTTTGTAATTTTTAAGTTAAAAAGAAGGATAAATCAGATACTACATATTTCTGAAAGTTCCCAAGGTTGAGTCTTGGAGGCAGTAGCATATTTGTTACATTATAATCACAGCATGCCACTGTGCAGTATGATGGGAACAGCTTCTAATGCGTGCTATGTGGCCTTGGGAAAGACACAACGTTTCTGAGCTTCAGTTTTCTTATATAGAAAATGTAGATAATACCTTTCCTATATATTTTATTGGACAGTGGCACAGATAAAATGGAAAAGCAGTTTAAAATCATAAATCCCCATACAAATGCAAAGACTGATATTTTGTGTTCCAGTTAATGGCTCACTTCTTTCAAGCAATAGTCAATTATGATTGAAATTCAATTCTAAGAAAAGAATGTGGATGATCTCTTAGAGTTTGTTTTAATAGAATTACCCCTGTGGCAGTTAGATTTTAATTGCAGCAATGTAGACATTTTACTTAAATGTTCCAGAATGTTTTATGTTGTATGAGATATCTGGTGCAGAGGGGTTTTGGCAATACCCTTAAATCCTACCCTTCGCCCCCACCCATATTGAATTAATTAACAAGATCTTCTTTACTTATACTTTGTGCCTAGCACTCCCCTATAGGCAGATGGTCATACCACCAGGTTTATTTGGGATTGTCACAGTTTATGCTGTCTGTCCCATGTAATTGCTAATAATGCCCCTTTCACTCTCAAAAATATGCTAGTTTTAATGATACATTATAGAATCACTTTACTATGGTCACTTATAGGGCATGAAAAGAAACACAGGAAGCCCTTGGTTTATAGGCACCAGACTTACAATCTCTTTTTTCACCCCATCTCCATAACACTGGCTTGGAGTGTTATTGAAAACGCTTGATTAGGGTTGGAACATTGGCCTGTGACTAGTATACAGCATGAAGAAAGAAGAATTATGGGAGACCATTTAGGAAGCTGCTATGGTAAGTCAAAGGTAAGGAGCTGATGAGTATCTGGACCACAATGGAAGCAAAAGGTTGGAGAACAGAAATATTTGAGAGTGTCATAGGTAAGAAAACAACAGGACCTAGTGATCTTTTGGAGACTTGGTGGACTTTGCAGTCTAGGCATATCCAAGGCGGAAATGAGCTAGTATGGACCTCCAGAGGGTCACTCTACAAATTGTTCTTCTCTGCAAAACTTCCTCCCTCAGACCATTCCTCTTTTATTGCATTGGCTAGTCCTCCTGATCAGAGATTTATTTGGGATAATACAATTTTCCTATTTTTAGTAGTGCAAACAGATTGGGGAATGGTCACAATTTTTTTTTTTCTTCCTAACATGGAACTGATATCTGCTTGTGCAGAGGAGGTGAATATTTCTGGGAGGAATAAGGATAAAAAGAAAAGAGAAATTTTGGAGTATTGAATATTCTGGGGAGACTTTCCTTCAGACCAACCTAGGGACACAAAGGGTAATGAACATCAGGTCAGAAAAGAAAGTGGGTGTCAGGGACATGCAGTATTTATTTGGGTAAAACGTGTTCTCTTGTTCATGACTTGTGTCTTGGGAAAAGAATGGAATGTTCTTTCTCTGTCTCCTACTGTTCCTTCTCCCCCATCTCTATGGCCAATACCCAGAATTCAGACTGGTGATGAACTATTTACTACATAAGCTTAGGAATGAGACTTCTTTTGTCAGGGGCGGGGGGTACCAGGGATTGAACTCAGGGGCACTCAACCACTGAGCCACATCTCCAATCCTATTTTGTATTTTATTTAGAGACAGGGTCTCACTGAGTTGCTTAGTGCCTCACTTTTGCTGAGGCTGGCTTTGAACTCACGATCCTCCTGCCTCAGCCTCCCAAGCCACTGGGATTACAGGTGTGCGCAACCATACCCAGTGAGATCTCTTAATAGCATTGTTTCCATAGGAATGTGTATTCTGGGGTACATTTTGGGACACACCTTTTCATAAGTTGGGAGCTGTCTTTATAAGACCTAATATTGCCCTGTAGTAGCTTACAATTACAATCTCTGGATTTAGGGTAGACTCTGTTAATAAATAAGAAATTATTTGAGAACAATTAAATGCCAACTATAAAGTATTGAGTGACTGTAAGTAAAATGTTAATTTATGCTAGGAGAAGCCCAGAGATTGTGGTATATAAGTTAATCAAAATCTTCACATAAGACAGCATGACTAATTTGTACCAAGAATTTGAATGAGTGAGGAAGAGGAGAGAAAAAAATTCTAAGTAGTTTCAGAAATCACCTGGAACCAAAGTTTGGCATAAGACATGAACATGGATGGGGAAGGAGGAATTAGGCCTTATGGAAGCAAAATGGCTTTCTGAAAAGTAGGGGGACATTGGCTTGGCTAAGATCAGATGGGGTCAAACATTTCCTGTAAATTAATGTTCATAAAACTATCACTTGAAACTTGCACACATTTCATGTGACCAAATGCTTTGAAGTGATAAATCTTGATAGCATTTTTCAAGTGGATGATTTAATGTGGTTAAAGTTCAGATGAGGTGAGGACCAGGTCTTGGATGGCTGGGAATTCAGATGAAAGACTTTGGACTTGCTGAAAGAGTCCATATAGGGTGTTATTGAAAATGCTTGATTAGAGTTGGAACATTGGCCTATGACTAGTATACAGCATAAAGGAAGAAGAATTATGCGAGACCATTTAGGAAGCTGCTACGGTGAGTCAAAGGTAAAGAGCTGAGTATCTGGACCACAATGGAAGCAAAAGGTTGGAGAATAGAAATATTTGAGAGTGTCATAGGTAAGAAAACAACAGGACCTAGTGATCATATGGAAAGAGCCAGAGGAGGCTTTTAGGTTTCCTAGTGTAACTTAAGCATGAGAGGAACTCTATAAGAAGTTCATAGTCACATAAAGCCTTCTCACCTGTGCAGTTTCCCATGTCCTCCTAGTGAACCTCCATTTCCAAGGAAACCCTATAGCAGCTATTCAGTAACTTAATTCTGCAAAAAGTTTAGACTCATCCAATGGAAGTCCTCAAGCATTTATTCACTAATCTGATTTTGCAAAATTAGGTTAGTGAATAAGTGCTATAGGGTTTCTTACTTGGAAGACAAAAAAATAATTCATTCTAGTTCCAGTTTTGGTGGAAGGTAATGACAACTGCCAGTTCTTCCAAAAAGGTGACATGTCCAGTGTTTGTTCACATAGAAATGAGTTGCTTCAAAACCCATGTGCCCTTCCTGTGAACTGCATCTCTCCAAGAAATCTTATAGCACCAATTTACTAACCTAATTTGTAAAAGAAGGTTAGTGAATCATTGCTAGAAGATTTTCATGGAAATATTTGAAATTAATTAATTTTCTCAACTTTTATTTGTATAAGCGCTCTTCCAACTGTATCTTTCAACACAAGTACAATTTTTTTTTTAATAAGACTGATTTTAAACAATGAGACTTAGAGAATCTGGGTACAATAAACAAGAAGAATTTAAATACATGGGTTTATTATTAACACAGTAGCAAATATATCAAGGATACACACCCCATGAAAAGTGTTTCAAAGAAACACAAACCCGCTCTGAGAAAGGTCTGTACCCAATAAGTAAGCCCAAAGAGGCATGTTTGCTTGGTGATGCCCAGAAGATAAGCCTGGCAAACCTCAGTGTGATTGAAGAAGCCAGTCTGAGGCTCAGCCTAGGTCAGGCAAGCTACAGGCTCCTACTGCTCCCAACGAACTTCAACACAATGGTCTTCACATTCTGGAAGGCTTTTCTGATCCTAAACTGCCTTGCAGGTAAGGAAGGGATCTCCAAACCACTACAGATAATTGGAAATGAAGCTTTTAGATTGAAATTATAAATTTTTGTATTAAAATTTCCTCTCTATACTTCAAAGGAATTTTGATTAGCATGCTGAGTAATTTTAAGAACTGTAGCTTAACAAATATGTGCCATGTTAATATTTGGGAGTCCAGTCTGTAGTAAAATTGTGTTATGGGGCTTCAGGATTGACATTTTCTCAGAAAAAAAATCATACTATCTTTCTTAGTTTAAAAGTTGGACAAGTAAATTTGCTCTCTTTGAAACCAAAGTTTGTGCTAAGGATAATTTCTCTCCTCTTTTATTTAGTGTTTCCCTTAATCTCACGGTGATTGACTTGCTTTGCTACAGCAAGCAGAACCTGGGTTTAAGCCTGCCAGGGCTTACATGTGGGAAGGACAGAGATTCTATGAGCACTTTATTATCTAATATTGCTTAGGGATTTTTGGTTTTCCAATCCTAAGACTGTATTTTGGAAAATATGTGAGTGATTTATTATTGCGTACAACATGGATGATTTTAGGAATTCAAATAGAACAAATTCATTTTTGAAGTCAAAATCCCAATAGTGGTTAAAAGGCTGGAGAGATGACTAATTTGGAAAATGCCTTAGTCATTTTTCTCCAAATACCAGATACATTTTGAATCTGTTCTAACAGTAACCTAAACCTCATATTAAATACAATAATATTGTTTATCAAAAAATCAGCTAATTTTTAAGCCATTGGTAATGTTAGATCCTCTTTAAAGTGAGGTTTGATAAGTACATTTAATGAAACAAGAAAATGCTCAAGATAAAATATTAAGTTAAAAAGCAGGAAACACAAAACTGTAATAAATTTCTGGAAGGTAATATACTGAGGCACTCACACTGGTAATCACTGGGTGATGAGATTATGGATGATTTTGATTCTATTCACCATCTATTTCATACTTTCCAGGTTTTCTATAAAGAGTATTATTATTATTATTATTATTATTATTATTATTATTATTATTATTTTACAGTGCTGGGGGCGTTAAACCCAGGGTCTGCTGCATTCTAGGCAACACTCTACCACTGGGCTATAGCACCAGCCCCTATACTATTTTTAACATTAGAAAAAATGTTACTTTGAAACCTAACATATGGTTAGCAATAATTCTTTAACTATTCATTACTAAATGTTGATGCTGAACAAAAATGTTGTATGGTGTCAAGTCACCAAAAGGCAATACTGCAAATATCCCATTGCCTAACCAGTCTGTATAGCTGGAAACACATGTTACTATTTTCCCTCACACCAGAATATTCATTTAAATTTAATTTCAGACAGGAAAAATCTTTATTCCTTCCAAAAGGGCTTCCAATCACAAGCCAATTGGATCAAACCCCAGGCCCTCTGCACCAACTCTCTAAAATCATGTCTATAGCTGACAATTAATTCTCTATGTGAGGCCTAACCCTGGCCTATACTAAACACAGGGTTTGGAACAGTTTCAAGAATGATTTTCAGGGGCTGAGGCTGTAGCTCAGTGGCAGAGTGCTTGCCTAGTGTGTGTGAGGCACTGGGTTAAATCCTTAGCACCACATCAAAATAAACAAATAAAGGCATTCTGTTCATCTACAACTACAAAAAAATTTAAAGAATGATTTCACTATAACAAATATATATGTACATATATATCATATATATATATATATTTACCGATTATAAACATTTTTATAGTCACCGTAGGAAGGTTGTAAAATGTAGACATATATAAATAAGAAAACAAAAATCATCTGTAATCTTACCACTCAAATTTGGGTGAATTCCTTATCAATATTATTTTGCAAATGTATATTATATTAAAAATGAAGCCCATACCTTTTATGCAGCTTTCCTGTTGTTTAAAAAATTATCTAGCATGATGTTGGGATCTTACTTCTGACTTGTAGAACAAGGCCTGATCAGAATGACCAATAACTACTTCAGAGTGTCTTTTCTTAAATTACCATATAGCTGTTTTTGTTGGTATATATTATATGCTGTATATCTATGCATGCCTGATCTAGCTGGTCCAAAGCAAAAAATGGTAGTCAGCCCAGCAGACAAAAAAGAGGGTATACTATCTTGTTATTTGCTATACTTACAGATGTGTGGATATCAGAGAAAGGAAGATTTAGGTGATCTATACCTGCCATTCATAGTGATCCAGATCCTTCAGTTGATCCAGATCCTGCAGTTGATCCAGATATTACTGAGGGACAATTGGCAGTATTTCCAACAATGTACAATTTAATGCCCCATCTGCACTTGTTTCAGAAAGAATATCACATTTCAAGTATAGTGCCTGGCACATAGTGGGAATATAGTAAATGGTTGTTGAAGGAATGAATTAACTTCCTAAACTCTAAACATTCAGAAATAATTTTCATATGAATATTTAAAATCAATTTCCTGTACAAATAAGCAGAGTAGTGTTTTTTAGTGTTACTCTCTCCCCTTATTTTATTTATTTATTTATTTATTTATTTATTTATTTATTTATTTATTTACTGTGAATTGATCCCAGGGACACTTAATCACTGAACTACATCCCCAGGCTTTTTCAGTTTTTATTTTGAGACAACATGTCACTAATTTGCTGAGGGCCTTACAAAGTTGCTGAGGCTGGCCTTGAACTTGTGAACCCCCTACCTCAGCCTCCAAAGTAAGTAGGATTACAGGTGTGCACCAGCATATCTGGTTCAGAATTTATGAATTTATTTTAATCTTATTTTATTTTCAATGGCTTCCTTTTTTTGGATTAAAGGGAACTGTTTATTTTGCTGCACTTAAATGGTAGACATTCAGGTTGCTGCTAATTTGCTATTGTAAAATCTTGTTTTTTCTTTTTTAAATATTTAATTGATTTTATTTTTAAATTAAATGACAGTGGAATGCATTATGATTCTTATTACACATATAGAGCACAATATTTCATCTCCTGTTTGTATATAAAGTATGTTGACACCAATTCATGTCTTCATACATGTACTTTGGATAATGATGTCTATCACATTCCACCATCCTTGCTAACCCTCTGCCCCCTCCCTTCCCCTCCCACCCCTCTGCCCTATCTAGAGTTTGTCTATTCCTCCCATGCTCTCCCCCCTCCCTACCCCATTATGGGTCAGTCAGCTTATGTCAGAGAAAACATTTGGCATTTGTTTTGGGGGGGATTGGCTAACTTCACTTAGTATTATTTTCTCCAACGCCATCCATTTACCTGCAAATGCCATGATTTTATTCTCTTTTATTGCTGAATAATATTTCATTGTGTATATATGCCACATTTTAATCCATTTATTGACTGATGGGCATCTAGATTGGTTCCACAGTTTAGCTATTGTGAATTGTGCTGCTATAAACATTGATGTGGCTGTGTCCCTGTGTTATGCTGTTTTTAAGTCCTTTGGGTATAGACTGAGGAGAGGAACAGCTGGACCAAATGATGGTTCTATTCCCAGTTTTCCAAGGAATCTCCACAAAATTACAATTATACTAGACAAAGGCGCCAAAAACCTGCATTGGAGAAAAGATAACCTCTTCAACAAATGGTGCTGGGAAAACTGGAAATCCATATGCACCAAAATGAAATTAAACCCCTATCTCTCACCATGCACAAAACTCAACTCAAAGTGGATCAAGGACGTAGGAATTAAACCAGAGACTCTGTGTCTAATAGAAAAAAAAAAGTAGGCCCTAATCTTCATCATGTGGGATTAGCCCCAACTTCCTTAATAAGACTCCTATAGCACAAGAATTAAAACCAAGAATCAATAAATTGGATAGCCTCAAACTAAAAAGTTTCTTCTCAGCAAAAGAAACAATCTGTGGGGTGAATAGAGAGCCTACATTTGGGAGCAAATTTTTACTCCTCACACATCAGATAGAGCACTAATCTCTAGGGTGTATAAAGAACTCAAAAACCTGAGCACTAAAAACACAAATAACCCAATCAATGGCTTCTTAGGAGGTTTTAGTTTAAACCTGAATTCATGAAAGTAATTGTAATGAAAAATTTCTTCCACAAAAAATTCATGACTATCATCAAGATACTTGTAACATGTATTAGTCACCTGTTGTAAAGATATGTTAATATTGCTTTCATTTTCTGGAGATATGTATTATACTTGTGAAAGAAGTAATATATTCAAAATTTGGTTTTGCAGTCAAATCCAAAAGGTGAATGATCACTTGGTTTTATTATTTTGTAACTCAAAACAAAGCAATTATACCTGAAGTTACTGTAAATTAAGTCACTTCAAATGCATCATTTTTTTAAAAAAAATATCTATTTTTTAGTTGTAGTTGGACACAATACCTTTATTTCATTTATTTGTTTTTATGTGGTGCTAAGAATTGAACCCAGCCCCTCACACGTGCGAGGCTAGCGCTCTACCACTGAGCCACAACCCCAGCCCCCAAATGCCTCATTTTAAATATGGCTCATTGGGAGATATTTTTGCTATGGTATATTACGAGAATAATAATCTTCCAAATAAGCAAAGTACTTGACCATATTATAGGCATTAAATGAATGAATTAATAACCATTACCAAATTGCAAGACATTTTAAAATCTTCTTAAAATATTGATGTATGCACCTTGGATTATTTTCCTTTGATAATAAACACTGGATTATAAAAGAAGTAAATCATAATTCAACCACAGATACATTTTTGTTTTGTTTTTTAATCCAGCCAAGTTAGTTAGGGGCATTGCAATCCTCAGTTTTGTTTAAACCAGGTATGATTCTTTAGCTTATTATTTATTCACATTCCTGTTAATGTAGATATTTTTCTGACTTTATCAAATTTAAATAATTTTTCAATTTAGAATTAATTAATCTAAGGAAAGACAACTGTTTTTCTCCTGACATTCACAGAATTAACTCTAGTTTAGGACCAAATTTATACTGTTCACTACCCACATGTGATTAAATTTAAATTAATTCAAATTAAGTA